ATTTTATTTTGGTCATGAAAATTAACTTGTAGTTTTGAAGTTGCTAACATTTTTAAAAGATGATAATTAGATAACTTCGCATGGTGACTACACTGACGTTTTCGTAGATTTACTTTTTCCCGGGAATGCTTCATCTGTTGATATATTCTCATTGTGAATGATTTGTGTATATCTAAATATATTAACCGATGTTAAAAGACATGTATAATGTCAAATCATAACAATACAAATTGTTTAGTCTCAAAGAAAACTTGTAAGATTTCCGCAGTTATTTTTGTTGAAAAGGTGCAAATTGGGTACTCTGTGCAATTTGGGAACTGTGACGTTATAGCCATTAGTGTTTATTGCTTTAATAGGTTGAAATGTGCCCCTGATAAAAGTATTCAGTAGAGGGAAAATGTTTTGATCAGGTTTAAACTGATGCATGAAATATACAGGCGACTGCGGGAGGCAATTATTTATATTGCATCCAAATAATGTGCTGGCAGCTTGAATTTCAATGGATGTAGCCCACATATTTCCAAGTAACATGCTCTATACCTATCAAAAGTCATGGTATTATCATGGGTTATTATAACTCCATCTTCCCATAAAATCCTATTTTGGACAATATGGGTGCATACAATATATATGTACCTATAAATGTATCACTCAGACTCAAGTCTCCTTTTACAGCTGTTTTAATTTATGATTAAAAATTCATGTTGTATTTAAAAAGAATTTATTCCGTTTTGTCCCGTTTTTTCAAAGTCGCGATTAAACGAGAATCTGGCAGCCATTAAAAATATAAGGGTTAAACTAATGTCCTGACAATGTCCTGACGGACATTCCAATGCTAATTTCGTTTTCATTATTTGAAGAATTGACTTTATATTTGTAGCCAAGCAAGAATACAATATTTATTGAATAAATATAATGAAAAAAAAAGAATTTTTTTTTTTAAGAGTTAGATAACTTGACTTGATTAACTTCGATTTTTTTTTTAAAAATCGTACGAGATTTAACGAGAGTGACGAAACTTTTTAGATTGATCATGTAGAGAGAGTTATCGTTCTTTATTCCAATTCGATGCTTCTACCATAAGTGCCAGCTAAAGCTGGCATATAATCAACCAAATTTTTCCGACAAAAGGGGGCCCCCCCCCCCAAATCCGCCTCTGCATATATATCATGTATATAGAAATCTATAGAAAATCTAAATTTCGTTTTGAATTTGAACCTTATCTGAAATTGTCAAAAAAGTATTACAGCCGATTGCATTGAGTGTGTAGGTAAAGGTAATATCTTTTGTTAGCTTGCTTGCTAGCTGAACCGTGAAGTCATTATTAGGTAGGCATACTACTCTCCTTTCGAAGTAGCATAGTCCTACAGCAACTGGGTGAGGTGAGGGGGGGTAAACTTTCCGTTATCATTCAGATATTGTAATTATAATTATTCACTTTGGAGGTGTTCCGTACAACGATTTTTTAGTTTTTAAGTGCCTGCGCCAACGTGACCCAGGAATTTTTTTATTACAATGTCATCATCACTGTTTTTGCTGTCATGATCGGCCATAATTTTCTCCGGGTCACGTAGGCGCACGCTATTAAATTTTAAGAAACACAGGCCAAAAATCGTAATTTTTCCTACTTTTGGCGTTTTCGATGCCCTTTCACCCCCCTCACCTCACCTAGTTGCTGAAATTAATGGTTTTGAAGTTCATCCAAACAAACTTCAAACCTAAGGGAATATTTCAACATAATAAGTAGCTTTCCAAAACAAAATTTGAAAAATGAGAAAATAGGGGGCCGAAACGGGGGCTTATCGTACCTTGTCCTTTGCTTGATTTACCAATTTGTCTGTAACTTAAACTACTTATAATAGAGTTTTATTTATTCAGTCCAATCACAATGTATTTACCTTCAGGTATAAACTTGTAATTATCGATCGTTATCATAACGGGTTTTGTTCCTTTGATGTTGATGTGTAATAAAGAGAAACCATTCTTAATTTTAAACTTTTTTTTCTAACTTTTTACGTAAATTTATTTCTATTCGAGGAGTCAGACCACCAATTCTAAATCTCTATATATTCAACCAAATTTTGCAATTTTCACAGTTTTCTAAATATTTTACCTTAAGTTAGTTTAACTTCATAGAAACCAGGTATATCCTAAATTGTAAATGTTTCACCTTTCTACATGCCAATTTTCAACCCATGTTTATAAAGGACTGCCTTTCGGAAGACAAGTACTATTAAAAATAACCCCTGGTTTTCTGGAAATCTTAAATTAGTATATATATACTATGGAGTAAATTTATTTCTATTCGAGGTGTCAGACTCTAAATCCCTATCTATTCAACCAAATTTTGAAAATTTTACAGCATTCTAAATATTTTACCATAAGTTTATCTTCATAGAAACCAGGTATATATCCTGAATTGTACATGTATCACCTTTCGCATGCCAATTTTCAACCCATGTTTAAAGACTTCTAAGGAAGAATTTAACTGTCTTTCAGAAGACATGTTAAGTACTACTAAAAATAACCCATGGGTTTCTGGAAATCTTAAATTAGTATATATACTATGGAGCGCATATTAATCCTCAATTTTTAATGCAAACTCATAGACAAGTAAATTTTGGCTGAAAATGGTCTAAATATATTTCACTTCCAAAAGTTTCATTTCTGCAAATTTGTTGGTTAGTTAAAGTAAACAATGACATCAAAAGCATTATTTTGTGTCAGAGTTTGGCTACTTTTACATACGTTCTAAATTGGAGGGTGTGAATTGGTGGTCTCTGACACCTCGAACATGTGGACCTAGCATGTCTTTGTGAACCTAGCATTTTATGGTTTAAAACTTTTTTGTTTTCTCGGAGATGGATATCCACAACCCGAACCCATGGCTTATAATCAAAAACCGAAAACCGCTCTTGAGATTTAAAAATCGGACTTCTTAGGAGACGCCTCGGACCGTATGATATTCGGGGGTGGGGTTATAGGACGTATGGGTTTTTTGGTAAAGAAAATTCTGGGTCGATAAGAACCTATGGATATGAAATTTTGCTCAACAAATGCAGGAAATGAAAAAGAAAATAATCGAGACTCGCAAAAGATGAAAATGATTAATCCGTCAACCCCCCCCCCCCCCCCCCCCTTTGCCCCCACCCCCTAAATATATCAAATTGTCGTCCCAAAAATAAAATTTAATAAAAATCTTTACATTATGAAAAGAGAATAATTATATATGATAAGTATATATATGTTCAGTGGTTGTCTTTTGTTAATGTGGTTCATAAGTGTTTCTCGTTTCTCGTTTTTATATAGATTAGACCGTTTGTTTTCCTGTTTGAATGGTTTTATATTAGTCATTTTTGGTGCCCTTTATATCTTATTGTTCGGTGTGAGCCAAGTCTCCGTGTTGGAGGCCGTACTTTGACCTATAATGGTTTACTTTTACAAATTGTGATTTGGATGGAGAGTTGTCTTATTGGCACTCATACCACATCTTCTTATATCTATATATCGAAACATATTCTTAAAAAAAATCAAGTTCCCATGCTCTGGCTAGTTTTGGGGAAAACACTTCAAACTATCTTCACGGGATTGGTGATAGGCTGTCATAGAATATACCGACTTTGAAATAGAAGTGGTGGGTTGAACCAGGTTATTCGACTTGCAAAACATCCCGAATGTAAGACAAGAAAGCACCCACTGTTCATATTTAGAGAAAGGCATGATCATAGGTTAATTTCTTGTGGCAAACATTTTTTCGACTTAAAATTAATCACAATGTTTTCCAATAATAAGCAAGAACAAATACAACATATTCGTTATATATTTTCTTCTTGTCGCTCCATTTCTGACATTTTTTTCTTTCATTATGAATCAAACAATTTAATAAAAAAAAAAAAACATTTATGCCCCATGGAAGATGAAATATATGTGCAAATGATGTTTCTTGGATTCAATGTCGCAAATGAAACGGGTATGACCATTTGATATTTGGGGAGGTTGATTAGCATGATAATTTCTAAAATGAATATGCTGGTCATAACTGAAAAATAAATTTTGCCCAAGGCAGGATGAAAATTATATTTTGTTTGTCCATCAATATTGTGTATAATTGTTGACCATGATGAAAATACTATACAAGAAACAAGAATGAAAATGAATGTTCGAAGTGTAATGATCAGAATTAATGTTAAGATTTCAATCTTAGTTGAGTTTCTTAATGACTGTGAGTATTACAATTTAGATCAACTATCAATATCATATTTGGTCTACATATGATGTTGTAAGGTATACGGGTTTGTCTGCAGGAGTCACATGACCTGGTCCGATCAAAGTTCCAAATAGGGACACTCATCAAATATCATGCATAAAAGGTGTAATCTGATACAGACATGCAGCAAGACGGTCGCCATGGATATTGAAAATATATAAAAGAATAACCATTTGATATTATTCTGAGGTGAAGATCTTTAATAAATAATTTTTCCTAAGACAGCCGGGATGAATATGACTATTCTGCTTGAAACGTGATATGAGCTGGACTAGCAACAGGTGAAAATGAATATCACATCCGAAAAAATTCTCCTGCCCTCCTCCCCTAAAAAAAAAGAAAATCAAATTGTAGTTTCATGATCACAACAACAGTAAGCAACACGTGATTGTGCATTTAAACATACCGTGTATGCAAGCACACAGATGCCACTGAACAAAGATAGGTGCGATTGCTTAGTTCATCTGGGGAGCATTGTGTACCTCTTAAATGAGTTTGGACGAGGTCGGGTATTTATACATCCCGCATAGCATTACCTACACCGATGGCAGTAGTAGTTGTAAAGTACTGTCTCAAACAGAACCTACATAATATCTCGTACGACATATATACAAATAGTTGTCTGTGAACAAAATTTACCAACAAAAAATATGATGTCAATACCTTGTCTACAAAATAGAATAGAATAGAATAGAATATTTTTATTTCCCAAATTACAGGTCCATAACAGTTACAATTGATTGACATAATTGATAATTACAACAATAAACATCACAGTGTACATGTAGATGTATATTTAGTATATTAGCATTGGTCAGAATCAGAGCCAACAACAATACATATTATGAATGCACAATTAAATAATAAAATTACATTATATGCATTCGTTCTCAAATTATTTACTAGACTTAGTATCAGTATTCAGACATGATCTCCTCACAAAACACTCTCCAATATAACAGCCCATTTTTTCCACAAGAGATACATTTTCTTGTGTCGAGAGCCATAAAAATTTGGAAGATTTATTTAAGTTTTTGAAATTATAACAAATGTTTGAAATGTATTGAAAAAAACTTCTCTTTTGATATCATATAGTGGACATTCTTATAAAAAATGAAACTCATCCTCAACTTTACCAAGTGTGCAATTTAAGCAAAGACACTTGGATCTATCTATATGTTTTTTTTTAATATCTGTCCGTCTCAATTTTTAAAGTGTGAGCGCTTATTCTTAATTTACAAATTGACTATCTTTTTTTAAATCCTGTAGTTCTAAATATTTTTCTTTTTTTAAAACAATATTTTATAGAAAAATAAGTACTAAGATTCCCTTTTTCTCAGTTAATTGTTTGGTACTTCAGTCTATTCCAAAATGTTAAATAACTTTCATATAGTTCATTTTTAACATGCTTACATAAAGAACCAATTGATTGGTCAAAATTTGGTAATTTAATCTCTTTCTGAATATAATCTATTCTAGAGTACCATGTATTAACATTAGAAATATGTAATTGTTTACAACATATAAATGCATGAAACTACATATAGTTAACAGTAAAGTGATAATTTCTATTGGAATGCAATAATGCAAATGCGATATATTTGAGAAATTACAGTTGTGGTATATGTGTTATTATAACGATTACATTGAATAGGGCGCATAGGAACTTAGTCAATTTCTTATCATCAATTCAATAAATCATAGATACACGAAATGTACATATAAAAGTAAGTAGATGTGATATGATTGCAATTGAGACAACTATCCACCAGAATGCAAATAATGTGGATGTAAGAAACTATAGGTCACCATATGGGCTTCAAAAATGATCAAAACCCATAGCGTATAGTTTGCTATAAAAGTCCCAGACATAAAAAAATGAGAAACAATTAAATAATTTCAAAAAAGAAAACAAACAGCCTGAATATCAATAAAACAATTAACTAATCACAAATTTGACAGACAGCAACAATGACAACGGTTACCGCTGAATAGCAGGCTCCTAACGGGACACGCACATAAACAATGCGGAGGGTTTTAAACATGTTTGGAAGCGCTCAACCTTCAGCTAAATTGGAACAGTGGTGTAACAGAACAGCATAAGAACACATATTTTAAATTCAGTTGGAAATGTTAGGACTCTTCAGATTGGCACGAAGCACCAACAAATAAACTACCATAAAGACAAAAACACGAAGTACCGACCTAAGATTCAAAACTAATTTCACGTACCAGTATATTTTCCCGATTGGTTTTCTCTGTGTTATATTTCAACAAGGTAATTTTAATATGTAAGGATTATCTTTAGACGCTTTTTTAAAAACTTTCACAGGGTTGGCAAAGTAATACACGGACGGGAAAACCCAGGTCCGGGTTTTCCCGGGCTGGGCAATTACTCCCAGAAATGGATAAAACTGGGCAATACTGGATAACTTAGTATGATTTTTTTTGAAACTTATTTACACACAGAATAGTAAAGAATTATTTTAGTTTTATAGTACTATTGATAAACACTTCTATACAGATAAACATCCAGAATCATTTTCAGAGAATAAAAAAAATCAATTTCTTCTTTTTCTCTTATTTCTTCAATAATTCTATATCGACAGAATAAAATAATGTTTTGCTTATTTTTGGATATCACCTTTATTCCCAGCTTTGTTTTCATCAATTCAAAGTTTGAAAATATATTTAGTGTAGTATCATTTGTTAATCATAAAATTTAATTTGCTATATTATCATATTTTATTTATATTTGCCTCTGAACAATAAAGACCAATCGTTCATTATCTTCATTATCAATTACTTCTTTTGACAATAAAAACGTGTATACCAGTAGTGTAGTAAACTTTCTGCCTCTGTAGGCGTTTCATCTCAAAATATTTGCATTGACAATTAATTCTGTACTTTTGATTCATGTGTACAGCACTTTTTCAATTCCCTTCTCAGTTTTACATCAAAATAACAATAGATAAAAGGATTTACAAGGTGATTAACAAAAATCAACCGTGCTATATAAAATCAAGCAAATGTTTCTAGTTTTGATAAAGTTATATAGTTAAAATTTTCAATTGTGTATCTAAGGATTACGAAGACAACTGGAGGAATATAGGAAATAAGGTAAGCAAGTATTATAACGGAAAACATAATACTTATTCTCTTTTCAACTGAACTGCTCTTTGATTTAGGAGAATTGTTGGGACTTTCTCTTTTTTCTTCTTCTTTATTAATTGAATTATCGTTCGGTGAAGATTGTTGTACTGCATAAGAGGGAAGATCCTCATTTCGATTTGCATCATTTGAGAGTTCTTGATTTGATGAAATGTATAGGTTGTCACTCTTTCCGGGCGATTTACCGTTTCCTGTGGATTTGATATCAGATTCTAACTCAATACCGGATGTCTTTGTCAAGCTGGTTTCTGAAACGTCTTGACTGGCTATGCTTTGCTCCTTTTTAGTGGCTAAAGAAATGTTTTTCGATTTTGTTGGAAAGGAAATTTGAATCCTTTTCAAGACTGGTATGTATAGGACAGTGGTGATAACAAGATTGCACACTATGATTAGGGCTAGGAGTCCAAAATAAATAGTTGTTGCTTTTGTGTCTACTCTGGAAAATTTACATGATGTTGTATTAATTGTATGATTCATAAAAACGGCTTCCGATGTATTCGTTCCTGAAAATCCTAACAGTGGACATGCATACAATAATGTGAATGAACACGCAACAGCCAGCGAAACTTTTTTCCAGAACAATGTCATCTTTGGACCAAACGGTTTGCATACTAAATGGTACCTTTGAACACTTATGATAAGTAGAATATGGGCCGAAAGTCCGGAAGCAAACACTTGCAAGAATGTAAGGAAACAACACACGGTATTACTTGGATAATCATAAAAATATGTATTATTCATAACGTAATATGCCGAAATAGTTAAACAAGCTATAAGATCTACGATTGCTAACAAAGGAATGAAATAACGTTCTCCTCTTTCCTTGATCCGACTTGAGTACACAACAATGGTGGCACCATTTCCTAGCACCCCTATAACTGTTCCAATTATAAGTAATATAGTGTGACTGAGTAAAATATCGGAATATCTGTTCTTAAGAACTTCATTGTAGTCAATTACATTCGCCATGCTACAATATATAATTCGAAAATGTGAACTTCATAGTATTAGTTAAAGTCTGCATGCTACAGTTCATAGTTCGGAATATAATTTTCCATGTTTTTGGGTTAACTGAAATGCTGCTTCTATCATAACTATGATGTGTTCTCACTACTTCCTGTTAAGATAATGACAGCGTTTTCTTTATTTTGTTTCGTTGGTTTGAGATGTACAAAATGTACCCCACATCTCTTTGTATCAATAGACAGTGGTGTTCTTTTTGCTCCCTTCTTACGGTGTGTATATTACCATTTTGTTTGCTATGTCTGTGTATATAGTTTTAGATTTCAATTACCGTAATCTGCATGAAACTGAAAAATTATTTAGACAGGGATTTCTTTACCACAAATGACAACCTTTCTAAAAATGTTCATAGAAGATTTGTTTTTGAAACCTGTATCTATAGAAATCTTTCGACAAATGAAATATTGCATCCTACTTTTTGCGGTGATGTTGTTTATAAGTTCATAAATTAAGATACGATCCATATAAAATTATTATTTCTTTGAATAACTCCATTCTTAAAGTGTATATATTTATTGTAGTAAGATCTTTATACAATGTTGGAAGTTATCAGTACTAACATTAATTTGTATATTTCATAGTTAATAAATTCATAAGTATTATGCATTGCTATCCAGGTATTTTAAACACTTATATCTTGTCGATACTCATATTTTTGCATAACACAAGGCCATGCATTTCGAAGACAGCTCATAGTGTACTGATTGACATTTAAGTCTGGGAGAACATGAGCATTAATGTTAAAAGTTGCCTTTGAAGCAGCTTTAAGTAAAGACCTGTACTCTCTATATTTTGTCTTTTTGTTATTTGTTTAGGTTTATAAAGACACGAGACACGTTTTGTTTTCAAACTGAGTTTTACTGTTATGTTGTTACACCACAATTCATTTTAAAGGAGGGTTAAGCGATCACAATCATGTTAAACATTCTTCATTTGCCTGTTCTACTTGTTGTCGTTTGTTACCACATTTGTTGTTCAATAATTGTTGAAGTATACTTTAGGCCGCTTGTCTTCTCTTTTGGATGGTTTCACATTTTTTCAGTACTTGAGCCTTGAATAACCTCCTTTACGGAATGGATATTGTTCATTGCTGAATTCCGTACGGTCATCTTTGTCCATTGGTCTTTAAGGATGGTTGTCTCATTGGCAATCATTCTTCATATCCTTATTCTTTATAAACTGAGAATCACTTACTATGATAAACTTCGTACCTTTCATACTTGCAGGAGATAGTAGTAACTTAATCTAGGGTTAGAGTTAGTGAGATCGAAAACTGACAACCCTCGACGTCGTTATAGATTGTAGAAAAAATGATTTTTCTCATTTCACGGGTTATTTATTACGTATATATAATATATATTCTTTGTAGAGAGGAATTTCGAAAAGACTCTGAAACCCTTTATTTCGGATTTAAGGATGTTCGCTCCTCTTGTTTCTGAATTTTTGCCAGATATTCGGAATCCTCTGTTTTTATCCATGTACTGCCATTAAAAAAATTTCCCCGCTAACCCCTACTTTTCTTTTCATAATTTTATTACATATAGTTTAAAAAGCCATATTTGAAAATGCTATAAAATCCTTGTTATTTTTTCATATTTTTTAAAGCAAAAGGGTGCCAATGTTAAATATATGAAAAGTCTAGAGATAATTATTTCCCGCCAAATTTTCAATGGCTTATATCTCGAAAACAAGCACACGGACCATTCATTTTTTTCTGCTTTTTTAGTTCCTTTATTTATATGCTATCAATTTATAACACTCTTTTAAAAAGCTTGTTATTTTGAAACAGAGTAGCGAACATCCTTAAAAGAATAAAGAAAAGTTAAAAACGACGCGAGACTCAACCCATTACCCTTGTTTTTTTAAGTATCATGCTTGATCTTGTACTCTTTAAATCCAATGTACATTAATCATAACTTTTATGTGCATGCAATTTATTTGTTCAAGACAAAGAAGTTATAAAGTCATTTTATTGCTCAATTCAAAAGGCATCTTATTAAATTATTGTGAGTATCGTCTATAAGACAGCCTACCGTCGACACAATACTCCCAAATGACATATACGATTAATATACAGTCTTCATCCCCAGAAAGGTGTTTATTCAAATGTCAAATATAGTATCTAATATCGAACCCTTCTCTTCCCACAATCTAAGGACCAAGGTAAGATGAGACATTCGTTGTGACTGAATAGCACGTAGAAAAACGGACAACAAGAATGCATGTAGAAAACAAACACGGTAAGCTATAGAAGCAGTACATCAATAATAACACAAATTATATAAAATTATTTCTCTAATTCTTCGTCAATTTATCCCTTTCTGCACCCATTGTATAAAAAAAAATTTAATCAACGTGTGGTTCGTTTGATCTCAGTTCTTCATTGGTTAAAATCCGATTATGACGTCGAATTTTCTTGCTTTCCTCTGAATTTCCTATTGTGACGGCATGAAAAAAGGCGACCATGCCTGATGACGTCACATAGAAAGAACACATCTTTTTGCAGATCATTCGAAAAGAAGGAATAAATTTGCCTGCGTATTGTTTGAAAATCATTAGAGAAACAGATTCCACCACCAAATCTCGTGTAATACGATATTTATCCACTCTCGACAGTTAAATTTTAAATATTTAAAACGCTCGGCGAGCCTCGCGTTTTAAATTTGAAAATTTAACTGTCTCGAGTTGATAAATATCGTATCACACTCGATGCAGTGGTAGAATCTATATATAACATGTTTGCAGGTACTAAAACCAGACTAAAATAGAAAATATATCGTCATACATCAAATTAAGTATATACATACACTTACCTCAGCCGTATTTGGCACAACGTTTTGGAATTTTGGGTCCGCAATGCTCTTCAACTTTATACTTGTTTGGCTTTCTAACTATTTTGATCTGAGCGTCACTGATGAGTCTAATGTAGACGAAACACACGTCTGGCGTATCAAATTATAAGCCTGGTGCCTTTGATAACTATTTACAGGTCGTACATTATAGCACCTAACACTAAAGTCTTACCTTTAATTTGAGTATAAAAACTCGAAATTGGTCCTTTACACGCGAACCCTAACAAACCGATAACAGATTTTTCTGTTCAACTACAGTGTTCATTTGATGAAATACTAGATGGAAAGGATGAGAGGTTAAGAAATTCCTGAAATGTAGAAATAATAAATCGAAGATAGAAAAAACACAATAAAATCAAATCTACAATGAGGAAAATGATACTTTACAATACTGAGAGAGACAACCGGATAATATCGGATAATATCAGTACCTAGAACACGACACGTTAGAATGAATCTACAATTGTTTCTGATTTGCATATATCCTTGTCCTTAAGTAGTATGCATAAAACATCTATGACTGATTCATACATATATATATATATATATATATATATATATTTACAAGTCTAAATTGAAAACAACGTTCAAACCTATGATTGCGTTGGATAAAAACCGCAATTTTTATACGTGTGCATGTAAAACAAATTTCTTGGTTGAGGGGTCTAAATACAGCACAAACAACATTTTCCAAAAGACCAAAATAGTGAAAAAGTATATTTTAACAAAACTCATTTGACTAACAGGTCGAACAACGAATGTTCTTAAACCCTGCTGACTGCCATTGGCGATTGCCAAATAAATTGATCACCAGTACAAAATGGATCTTAATATATATATATTTATATATATTACCTTAAGTGGTATGTAAAAAATCATCTAAAACTACATGTATGTATGTCCTTAGTTTTACCCACCTATCTTAGTGGTATGCATAACATGCCTTAAGCTTCAAATTAGAAAACACTTAAGAGAATATTTTTGATGATTAGGTTCCTTTAACTAAAAAAAAAAAACAAGATAAAATCAGTCGAAAGTATACTGTTTCACAGAAAATGAAAAGATTAAAGCTTGAATGCATGTATTTTTTGCCATTGTATCAATAATATGAATTCATTGATACTCCAGTTGTATACATGTATACTGTATTTCTACAATGGTCGTTTACTAAACCATCACGTATAATCAACAATATCTGAGATTGCTGGCCCGGGATAGTTTCCTTCTTCATTATATCGCTTTGCCACATACTCGATAAAGTTTATTTCGAAAAGACGTTGTTTATCGAGCATTTTTTAGATACGATCAGGGTAATTAATCGATCCTTCAAATACAATTGTTCTAAAACACTACCATAATGATTTCAACACTGTAATTGCGATCTTTGTATTTTATTGGTATGCAAATTTTTGTTGGTATCAATAAATTAAAACGCAGCTTACTATTATTGATATAGAAAATGAAAGGATATGGAGTAAATGTACATGGGACAAAATCGCACACAATACATAGAAAACATAGAAAATTATCAATGAACAAGGCTTTTATTCCTGTTCTTCATATACACCTATGAGCATTCATGGCCCTACATTCTATCGATACTTGTATTTTGGCATTGCACAAGATGAAGTTTTTCTCTGACTGTTAAAGACTACTTTACACTATGAATGTGAACTGATTGATTTTTAAGTCTTATATACATGATTTTTAATTAGTTGTTATTGGCTTTGAACTAGCTTTCAGTAACTGCGAGTACTCTCAGATATGTACGTTGTATCTTCAGTGATTTTGTAAGTTGTTTTTGTGCTTTGTATTGATCTGATGAGTTAATATAAAAAAGAAGATGTGGTATGATTGCCAATGAGACAACTCTCCACAAGAGACCAAATGACACAGAAATTAACAACTATAGGTCACCGTACGGCCTTCAACAATGAGCAAAGCCCATACCGCACAGTCAGCTATAAAGGGCCCCGAAATGACAATGTAAAACAATTCAAACGAGAAAACTAACGGCCTAATTTATGTACACACAAAAAATGAACGAATAACAAATATGTAACACATAAACAAATGACAACCACTGAATTACAGGCTCCTGACTTGGGATAGGCACATACACACAGAATGTGACGGGGTTAAACATGTTGGCGGGATCCCAACCCTCCCCCTAACCTGGAACAGTGGTGTAACAGAACAATATAAGAACGAACTATAAAAATCAGTTGAAAGAGGCTTAACTCATCAGATGGATAAAATACAAATACTACAAATACAAGTGGACGAGGCCGGGTAGTTGTACATCCAAACAACAAAAAGACGCTAAGTACAGATTTGAGAGTACTCGCAGTTACTGACAGCTAGTTCAAAGCCACTAACAACTAATAAAAAAAATCATGCATCTAAGACCTTATTATCAATCCGTACACATCCAACATCCAATGGGTTTCGTGTAAAGACGTCATAAACAGTCAGAGAAAAACGTGACCTTGTGCAATGCCAAGATACAGGTATCGACAGATTGTAGATCCATGAATGTGTATATGTATATCACAATAATATTTAGTTTGCTTTTAATTTACTGATAACAAAATCAATATTAGTACCAATAAAAACAATATTTATATTTAAGACCTGCTAAACTGATTTTTTGGTTTGTTCTGTTATACATGTACCACTGTCCTAGGTTAAGGAATGATTGAGCTGCCGCAAACATATTTAGCAGTCACTTTCAGTGAGGAGCCTGTAATTCAGTGGTTGTTGGTATATCGCCTTTGTTCTTTATCACCTTTTTTGAAACAACGGATTGCCCTAACCACTTGCCACGCGGAAGGGAATATTTTGGTTCTAACACTTAAGTAAAAAAGAATAGCGCTAAACGGTGTTGTTATATTATCTCAAATAAGTTTGATCATACGAACGCTTATATGGTCAAGCCCCGTGACCTTGTTAACTTTTAGGGTCTGAAGAATGTATTTGACTTAACAGGATTCAAGAACAATACTGTTTAAGTGTCTTATTCATATCAATTACGGTGTTGTTCGAATAGATAAGTTGAATATTCGAGTCTCTCGATTTTATGTCGACTACTTACTTAGCTTGCTAAATTTCATTAATCCGTGATTGAAATCGTCCTCAAATTATGCTTTGTCATTATTTATCATAGAGTTTATTTCTTTTCAATACGTATGACATTTACAGTTTTGTTTCGAAGTCTGCGAAATCCTTACTTACATTCATAATGGTTTGTCTTATTCGCTTTTTTATAAATACGATTTTGTTTATAATATATACCTATGTCTATATATACACTACGGAGGTTTTAGCCTGAGGGCTATAGTTTTGTTTTGAAAACTATAGTTATAATTCGGAAAATCTTTCGACAAATAATTCGAAATTATTGCTCAATTCAATAAAAAGGATTTCGGTTAAAACTTGAAACCATCATACGAAAGAATTTTTCACAAACAAATGAAACATTTCTTAACAAATTGGGACATGCAATATCTTAGTGGTCATTGAATTCGTCTCAATTCAGATGCCCTCAATGCCAGCACATGTACATGATGTAGCTAGATACAAAATTGCCCTATAATATTTAATGCATTTTGTGGTGAGTTTGGTGGGCTGTAGAATGTTCAATGCAAAAATGGTCGATTTTGTTTAAACTTTAAATCAAGCCAAACATTTTCGACCCCAACTACTTCTAAATCTCCATTTTTGGAAACGCTTTTCGGAAAAGAGAAGAAAATTGTATTTGGAAGATGAGAATAAGGATTGCATAGCAAAATGAATTTTCGAGACTCGATTAATAAATACTTAGCATCGCGTTGGATACATTGTTTTATTAGCAACGAATAAGTAGTAACTAGGTTGTCTATCATATTGAGTTAGAAAATACGGGTCTAGAACGTGCACGTTAAATGGGAGTACAACAAAACAACACGCAAATGTATTACGTCAACAATATTTTGTAACATTCAAAACAGATACAATTTAAAGCATCACTTTACTTAATTTACTTAAGATAAAGTCGAGAGTTTAATAAATGTTTTATGGGGCTTGAATTTATATTGATTGTACCACGGGTTGGCCCTTTTTACTAATATTATACCACGAATATTTCTATTCTAGTAGGACAAAGACAAAATTGTTTTTTTGAAGCGCTCTAGATGAATGCAAATATTTGCTGTTCCCGTAATTGAACACACTATCAATATTGACGTAAAATACGAAGAAAACTGATTTAGTGACATGTTTAACATACTAAGTCAGGTTAGGATCATTAGGGAAATGTAATTAATGTGTATGTTTCTGTCGAAAAAAAGGAATTGATCTTTGTTACATCTAAATTGCATTGTCTAATGAACGAGATTGGATGGTTATCTTGAAAGAAGATCTTATGTTTGCAAACCACGAATAAATATTTTAGACCTATGTCGATTTCATTAGTTAAATTAATTACTTGATTACTGAACAATTTTGATAACAAAATCTCACTTTTATCTGCGAAAATTGAGTTTCAATAAATGTGTATCATCGTTTGTGTATGCTTCCATGTCTTGACGACTTGAACATTCGTGCAATTTCCCGTAGAATGCTTGTGTTCTGACTCGAGTGTTCAATAACGTCATTTACACTGATTGACATCAAGTAACTCATTCATAAAAAGAGTTTGACGTGGGATTATGATAGGAACATCCCAAACAAATCATGACGTTGCCGATCGGCTGACATACAATGCAATATATTCGTATTTTTCCACGGCCGGGTATGTTCTCAAAGTATTTATGCTCTTCAACCTTGTACTTGTTTGGCTTTATAACTATTTTGAGCGTCACTGATGAGTCTTATGTAGACGAAACGCGCGTCTAGCGTATTAAATTATAATCCTGGTAACTATTTACACCACTGGGTCGATGCCACTGCAGGTGGACGTTTCGTCCCCAAGGGGATCACCAGCCCAGTAGTCAGCACTTCGGTGTTGACATGAATATCAATTATATGGTCATATTTTTTTTTATAAATGTCCTGTTACAAAACTTAGAATTTTTCGAATAACTAAGGATTTTCTTATCCCAGGAATAGATTACCTTAGCTGTACAACTTTTTGGAATTTTGGTGCAATGCTTTTCAACCTTGTATACTTGTTTGGCTTTATAACTATTTTGATATGAACGTCACTGATGAGTATGTAGACGAAACTCGCGTCTTGCGTATTAAATTATAATCCTGGTACCTTTGATAACTATAATCATATTACAATATTACTAATTTTATTCATTAGACTGAGAGGGTAACAATATTTCAAAAATAACGG